TTGTAACTTTTAAGATCTAAACGTCGAAGTGCCGTAATATTTTTGCGTATGCACCCCCACGGTATTTCTGACCAGTACCTCTATAGTTGCAGTCTCTACGTGCAGTAGTTGTCAGAAAAGTATTCGGATGATGAGATATCGCATGTGAGCCAGGTTTCCCAAAGACCTCAGCATCTGAAAGCACAGCCCCTTCGACAAACTTATCGGCTTTTGTGCGGAGACCTCTTACATTGTGATAGTTATCCGATAATGCTTTGAGTGACTCATGTGGTCGCAGTTTCGCGTGCGTCCGTTTTTAGTGTACGCCAATATTTACGAAAAAGACAACTCCCAGGCCGAACTAAAAGGTCGTTAACAAGATCTAACTTGTTTGCACTCTGACATGAAATGATGACTATAAAGGAAAGCTGCTTTGAGCCTTGTGCAGACGAGCGTTCTTGATGTACTTATGTAATACGTAATGAACTGTCTTATTATCGACATCGGCCGGTAAGAAGTATATGTCATCCGTGTAAACGAACGCTATGATGTCTTGTTGTAGAGGAATGAGACAATAACGATCCATGCGGTAAACCCTCATCTTCTGTAAAGTAACCAAACTTCACCTTAGCATTATAACAAAACAAAACAGTTTCTATTTGGCGAGCATTTCTAACTTTAAGCTTGGAGATAAGTGGGTAGAAAGATGGAAGCCAATGGAAGCCACCTTTCTCGACAGCACGGGATATTCTACGTTTTAACAGCCTCTGTAAGGTTCAAAACATCTACCGTGGCGTCTGCCCACCCTTTCGATCGCGTCTATTTTTTGTTGCCTGAGCGGGCAATCTCTTGAGTTTGTCGAGCGTGTCACTCCCACTATTGCTCCATAAAAATAACGCATCTAAGGTAACGAGAAAATTACGCGTTATCTTCAAACTCACGTCACGCATTCCTGTTGAATCCTAGCAGCGAGAAATGTACTTAGTTATTTTTTCGAGTGAGTAACAAGTAACGATATTTATTTACTTCATTCTAGTAACGAGTACATTTCTAATCGAACGCTGCCTTTGCCCGCTTCGCGAGAAGCCAATTAGATCAAATCAAATCAAATCAGTTTATTTTTGCCCCAAAAATACATTCGTGACAAGGGCGCTGGAAAAAAAGCTGCACGTAGCCGCTTGACGAGTCCCAGCGCCCCAATACAAAGCAGCAGCGGAACTGACATGAATACAAAAAAAGAACACAGTATATAACAATCACAAAAAAACAACAGCAAAAAAACATCTACCTAAGTACACATATTTAGAGCTATCTGAAACGTAAATAGTGATTTTATATTACAAAATGTCTTCTTATGTACGACTGTTTACAGAGTATATATCAATTCCATGAGAAAAAAGAAGGTTTAACAATAGCGGTAATTGGTAGCGGTATCTGTGAGTGCCGAAATTTGTTCTAGATACAGGAAGACGCCAGGGGGGCCTATGACGCGATGCGTAAATGGACTCGTTTGTTTCTAGTTTAGCAAGGTCTAAGATTATGTTAATATTTTTTCTTACACATTGTTGGTAATTTAAAATCAATCTGGAAGAATACATATTATATATATCAATGATTTTATGTTTTTCAAGAAGAGGAAGAGAGTGATAATCACGAGGTACATTTTCAATTATTCTAACAGCCAGAGCTGTTAGAATAATTCCGCCAGAGCGAGAGCCAGATCTCTCGCTCTGGCTCTCGCGGTCAGCAAAATCGTTCCCCAGGGGTGATTTGTAATGTCCGCAGGTCAGAGCTGTCTGTGTCTCCTACGCCTGGCACAGTTTTGTGCCAGGTCTCAGCGCCGTATGAGAACGACTACCCTCACGGGGAAACGTGAAAGAGAGACAGGAGGAAGCTCATAAGAGCACGAACGAGACAGAGAGATGGGTCTTCGATTCGATACCGCCAGACAGGTACGAGTCAATCTCTGACGGAAGTCAAGGCCCCGAATTGAGTTGCCGAAGTCTTCGTGTATTTTCCCAGTCATCCGTGCTTTATTCGTATGTGTCTGCTATAGATTTTATACATTTTGAAAATTATAAGTTTCCTGTCTGATCTGTTCACTGTCTCCAAGGTCCAACGCAAGCCTTTTGCTCCGGATACCTTATGTGGAAGACCATCTCCTACACCTCAAAAGCCTTACTGAAGGAATCAAGGGTATCTAAGCGTAACGAAAATTTGGAGAACGCTTAACCTTCGCCTCTAAGAGTGGAACGCGATAGCTAAACATATAAACTTCCGCTCGTCCCAAGCCGTGCAAGTGTCTCTGCCGTACCCGTTCGACAATTAAAAAAAGAAAAAAAGCGTCTCTGCGGGGCCTAGCTAGTAGCATGTCTGGCTCGCAACCGAAGGGTCGTGGGTACAAATCTCGCCAAAAATTCTTCAATTTTTTTCTTTAAAACAAATGAATTAATTTAAAAAGGGATATCATTTGAGTCAAGCGATGACCTTTAATTCGCATTACGTGCCGTTTCAATCCCTTTCATTCAACGCGTGACGTCTAGTTTCACATGAGCGTTGTGGGTTGTTTGAAATTGATAGGCGAGGTCATGTACCTATGACGTCATGACCCTATTGACCAATCAGGATTTTCCCGTCAAGACGCCACCGATGCCGGCTTTTCTGAGGCACGAGCTCTTTAACACTACCGCGTGACTCTAAGAGGAAATGTTCATTGTGCTTAAGAACTACGTCCCGGTTCGGACGGCCCGTCCCGCTCAAGTCTCGCGGATGGATTCAGCGAGGGCTTGAAGAGCGGAGGGTGCGTCGTTGCCTGAGGGTGGGCCAGCCATTCCTCCCACGAAAGGGTGTGGGGGAAATGGGAGGAAGGGTGGGTGCTTTACAGGCAAACGTGTACATAAAGCGTTTGCAAGCTTACGCGTTACTTGTATTCAACTACTTTTATCAAAAACTATGTAACCACTTAGTTATTTTTCGAAAGAAAGTACCACTATTCCGCTTTTAGTCACTTTTTGAGACAGTTACGATTCACGGTATTCAATTACTTTTGGAGGGAAACGCATATGACACAAATTATCCAATTTGGTTGGTATCTAAGCATGAACGTTTCAAGTATGGATCTTTCTGGGCTAAAACATAAAAAAAAAGATAATTTCAGCAACCAGCTAGCACATCGAAGTGAGTAGATAATGTTTTTTCTTAATGTTTGTGTTTTACGCACATGCATAACAGGCGCTTACAACCACGACAGCGCTAATTCCCAGTTGATTCTTCCAAGCCACATATTGCGCGATGCGGCGATTCAGTAGGTGAACATCGGAAGGCGGCTACTACTACAGTGAAACAACACATTTAGTTCCGTTTCATATTAAGAAGGAACACATTCGTTTTTAATATGCGTAAACAGTAGCCTACCTAGTCATTACTTTTTGAACGAGTAACGAGTAAGAGGACTTAGTTACTTGTTTTAGTAACTTTTACATGTCTGGTTACAAGACCAGTAGGTGTGAGGGATGGAGTGGTATACACCGCACTTGGGGCAGGGGGGAGGGAGTCGGGTCGTTTGTAAATCTGGTTTGGAAGATGGTGCTTTGATAAAGAGGAGTTGTTCTGGAGTGCCTGACGACAGTGGCTTGCTTTTGCGATATGGTCTTTGGAGTGAAGGGCGAAAGGCTCAGCTCTTGCTGTCGTTCTGGAAGCCTCGACTTTCCCCGGGCCCTCTAAGATCTTTCGCTCCGCCTGCCAAGCAGACGGCCGTCTATGGCTAGACCGGCCGTCTACCCTCCAAAAGCGCATATTTGCTCCAACGGTCCTGCTCCAAGTGGCCAAATGGCGCAAGTCTCCCTTCGATTCCCTCGAAAGAGTGAGCGAAGGAAGTGCGGCGCGAGGCGTAGAAATAGTGTTCTGCGCTGTTCCAGGGACTCTGGAAGGATAAGATTTGATACTTGGATTCACCTTAGTCAAGCGAAAACGCCCGGCGGTGCGCATTGCTTGCGCGCTTTGGCCACGGGGCAGCAGGGACCGCCGGCAGGGAGACGCTTCTTGATAGGGAAACCAAAACTGAGTATGAAAGGCTACAAATCGAGTAAATTTTTCAACGGTACGTATCTGCGCGTGCACAGCATTTCTTTACGATAGTGCTCTTTTAGTTGTTTTTGACGATGGCGTGAACGCTTGGTACACGTTGAAAACATGCCTCGAAATTTGCAAATTCAAAATAAGTAAAAAAAGTATTTTTTAGCTTAATTATATCAAACGTTACTGCCCATTGGCAGAAAACAATAGGACATAAATCTTTTATTGTTCGATGCGTACTTTTCGTGGGAGCGAGTTTTCCAGCTTACCATAACATCCTGTATACGGTCTCCTTTAACTCCTTCATTATTTATGAATACATCATAATTCAACCCACGTTTATGGTCTGAGCTTAATTCTGTGAGTGCGAGTTCGAAATCTCAGGAAACTAGCGATATTCCAATCATGGTCTTTATAATCAGATCCAAGCTTTTATGAAACTTTATAGTGAGATTGTATAATAGGCTCCGCTCTGCTTTTCTTGAGTTTGTGTGACTATAATCAATTTCAGTTTCGGTCAAGTGTCGAATGTTTAGGACCAGCTTATTGTCACCTCTTTAATCGATGGTTTTGTCTGAATAATGATCTAAAAATACATAACTAAGCTTTGCCTTCTTTATTATACGGACTTCTATTTCGCTTTGTGCTTCGCAGCGCTTACTTAAAATTCTGGCGAAACTATAGTCACTTAGGACAACTTAAGACTCATTCCGTTTCTTGGATTGTCAGTGAGTAAAGCTTGGATTCCTTGTCATCACTCTGTTAGTGTAAAATATAACTGTTTGGAGATTTTAATTCGAATAAAAAAACGAAAGGCCGTTTACAATGGGTCAACAAAATGTTTTTAGATTTTTTAACGTTTACTGCAAACAAAGTAGATTAGAATTGTTCTCATTAGTATTTTTATTATCATTTCGAAAACTTGTTTTCATCCACTCGGTCGTGGTTCATGAGGTTTCTTGCTCAAAAGTATATCTGGCCAGGCTCGCGGTCCTCTGTGCTAATTTTTTCTGGGTGGTGGAGAGGTGGTAGCTTTGAGCTACGTTTGCTTGGAACAGCCCCAATGCCTGATAAATGACGCCTCTCTTGTGTTTTGTTAGGTGTTCGTGTGTCATCTCTTTCACGTCTAGGTACCTCCATGTAAGGTTCTTGTCGGGCGTTTCAAACAATCCTGCAACGTATCCCTTCAACAAGATGTCGGCTACCCACGGCACCACCTGTAATGATACAACATAATGAAAACATAGGTTTAGGGTGTGACCCAAGTTTAGATTAAATCGCCAGCGAAGTACGACGAAATATTCGTTGTCGCTGATTTGCCTCAAAATTGATTCAACACATGAATATACACATCTAAACTAGTAATACAAATTATGAGTGGCAATAATGTTTTTTTAGTGAAACTTGAATTTCGAAGTTTGTTTCTAGAGGATAAAGCCGGGGTAACTCTGCTTATACATGATACAAACGACATTTTGCAAGCACAGGACACTACAATATCCCTGGTTCGAATGTCGCGTTCCGAAGTTTCTTTTTGAGCTTAGTGCCATACGGCATTCGAAGCACGGATCTCGCGGTCACGGCGTTTGAATCTATACGCAGACTGTTTTTTGTATCGTGTATAAGCAGTGTGACCCCGGCTCAAAGGGCTCTACTGGCAACACTGTAAGCGTGACGTTAGATGTTGTATTCCGGGCGCTTTGTTCTCGACAGGCTACAAGGAGTATGATGGCGTGATATGAATGCTGGAGAAGCAATCACGCCAGCAAAACAAATAAATATGCCCAAAATACTGTTTTCACACTGCCGGTCTTCCTGCGTGGCTTTTGCGCTTCCCCGGCCTGAACGACTCTTGCTCATCTCACAATGCTTTACTTTGTACATGAAAGCAGGAACCCGTAGAGGAGCTTCCGGCCTTGAGGCAAACACGTCCAGCCTTGTCCAGGCAAGGTTTCACGCGCTCATGCATAACACAAAATGAAGGCTGTTCGCTGCACACATGATGACATGATTACCTGAAGATACGCCTGAATCATGGTGGAAGTATGTTCGCTTCGTGCATGTGCAGACAGTTTTTGTATGCCCAATGTGACCGTCATACGCCTCATACTGTGCCGGCGCACCGTCTTTTGTATGATGTGTCAAATCGGGCTCGCACTGCTTATGCATCATACAAAAAAGAGTCTGCATAGAGATTAAACTCGAGTCACTGCGAGATCCGTGCTTCAAATGCCGCATTCCAATGAGTTCAAGAAGGAAGCTTGGCACGCAACATTTGAACCACGGATATCGCGGTGGCTCGTGTTTGCGGACTGTGTTTTGTATGATGTATGAGCAGTGTGACCCCGGCTTTACACATCCGAAGCAAGCCTTTGAGAACCTAGGCCATGGCCTCCTCGATTAGCGATGTGTGCGACCAAAAGCGTCGCTGCGGTCAGCTTTTCACGATTGGCCAAACCATGGGCATATGAGCACTGTCAGATTGTCAACTTTGACTGTGTTAGTTGCCGATTGCGATGGCTCCTAGCTTCCACTGTGCTTCTTAAACACACCACCGAACTTGTCGTCGCGCCTGATGGTAAGTAGCCAGGATAACAACTTGTGACAGCACCGCGAGGCAAATCCCAGTCGTGACATCACGGATAGAAACCATAAGAGGGCGCCACCGAAACATCTCGGCGCTAATACTATTCACAAAGCCTGGTAGTTCGATGATCGAGCCATAGAGCGCTCGGTCGCAGATGCGGAGCGCGAGAAGCTGATAGCACAGAGCATTTCTTGAAAAACCTGATCATGAGCGCACAGCTTTTGAAACGGCGAGTACCCGAAACATGGTTTTCAAACCCGACGAGAAACGAACCGGTAGCGCGAGGAACGCGAGGAGTACGAGCGGACATTCCATCGCTCGGGACAAGTGCGTTTTGGCCTCTCGCCGCAGCGGGGCGCCCGTGACATGCCTCTCCTCTCATTCTTTTCACTTTCAACGGTCGCGTCCTGTGGCGATCTGCCAGGCTTTGTCAGCATGGAGTAGGCTATGCTTAGACATATATTCGCCTATTCTGCCTATACTCTTTTAGGGGGTGCCGTTTAAAATGCCCCAAGTACGCGGGGGAAAGCACGATACCTCTAGAAAACACATTTTCTGTGAAATCATAAAAGCTACTAAAAAAAAAAAAAAGTTCGCCGGAGAGTGTATACTTCGAGAAAACTGAAATGCAGTAATGAAACCACCAGCTCCGCATCCCTATCAGGTGCTTCACAGCGAAACCTGGCCTTGGTCTCTGTGTACTGGGCAATCAGTAATGCTGTCGGGAAACATTACTGACGCGAAGAAGACATACACATCATCCTGGTTACAAGTATGGTGCCTGGATCGCGTCTTCGACTGGTGTGTTTACCGTCCTATCCCGCCCATACATCAAAAGTGGTCCCAATGTGGCAACAAATGACGCGAGTGTCATGCTGTTGCCTGTCGGGATTCTGGCGGTTGGCCGTAGAAATGCTGTCGAAAAGCACGAGCGAACGCGAGTGTCGCTTTCGTCACGGCGTCCCTTTAGGCGTCCCAACTTCCGGCTGCTCCAGCTTCCGTGAACTCTCACAGTGAAAAGCGACCTGCAGCAGAACAGGCGTCTGCCACTTTTACCACAACTGTTGGGGCGCCGCCAGGGTCGCAACAGGCGACAACATGACACTTTTATGACGTCATCAGGCGGAAAACGAGGGACCACTTTTTTGAACCCGGTAAACACACCAGTCGGAGACGCGTTCCAGACACTATAGTTACAAGACTTCTTACTACGCGTGCGCATTCATTCGACTTTTTTGTATGAAGCTAGTTTTAGACTGGTACTGTTCTGTTTTACGTTGAAAGCTACGCGATGCTTGATTTTAAATAGCGAGAAAAGTTCAACTGTCTCCATAAATATTTACTTAAATAAATTATCTGGTAAGATTTTGTCTTTCAGAAAACAATTAAATTATATTGTCATCACTTTTAGAAAGATAATGTTACCAATATCCGAATTTTTATTGCTCCGCCGCGCAAGTAATTCAGTTTTAAACGGTGCCCAACTGCTCAGATTGCACCCGCAAAACGCACAGCATTTTTGTTAGCCACAGCGGGAGCTTTGACGTAACATCACGCTAAGAGTGCCACGAGAGCTCTTGACTGCGGTCTTTGTAAAATAAGTTAATTTTAAGAAGGACAAGATTTACGGTATAGAGAGAAGCTCAATTCTCGGACGATGACCTTTGTACGCACCATCAACGCATATTGATCAAAACCGAGAGTAGCCGCCGAATTCAGAAACCTCACTCAAACTACACTCAAACTGAAGGGCCCCTCGACTTCCTCGAGGAAGTGGAGGGGCCCTTCAGTTCGAGTGTAGTTTGAGTGAGGTTTCTGAATTCGGTGGTAAGTCAACGTCTGTGACTGTGACGTATCCATGCCTGATGTGAAGTCACGACACGACAAGCCATACATACTTGCGAAATTTGGTTTGAAATTTTGTATCAATATTCATAATTGATTTAACGAATACTTGGGGTCTTTCAAAAAAAATGAATATAACATCTTACTATACTTAGGCCCTCTCTACGCGACCAGCAAAAAAACTTCGTAACTTACAGACTTCACCGGATATACCCTTTAAACTTTTTGTATGCGGCTCTTATTGTCGGTGTCTTTTGTAATAGTGCTTGATAGGGGAAAAAGGTTTTGCCGGTCGTTTACCATAAAATACGAGAATATTTGCTGAAGGTGGCTTCAATGTGGGGTCTCGATGGGCAAGTAATTATAATAATATTTTTATTGTGATCTTATATACCTTTGTGCTGACTTTATCACCGTCTTTCCGCAGAAAAGTGGCTCAGAAAAGCGGTGTGAGATCTTTGAGTAACTTTCAACCTAAACATTGATACAAGAAAAAATGCCGACTCGTACGCACCACTTGTGCTTCGTTGACGTACCACTTGGCTTCGAGAGTGGCTAGAGGGGGTATTTTTATATCTTGTTTATTCAGTTGTCGCGTAGTGCGTGTTTCGACCTTGGTGGATCCAGAGCTTGTCTTCACTGCTGTGGAAAATTCAGTAGAGAACTGATAAATTAGTGGCACGTTTATACTGAACTTAGCTTTAGCGGTGAGATCTGCTCCCCTGGTGACGGACCACGAGTACTCGTCTTCGTGGTCTATCTGCTCCGATATGTACGCCTTACCCTCCTCGTCAGACTGGTTGTTGTGAAATATTTGCACGTATACAGCAGACAGCTTTAGAGACTTTACTTTGGCGGCGTGGTAGACCACCGGGCCGACTTCGAACTTGACTGGTGGGTACCTGCATCGAAAAACTGTAACGTTATGCTGCGCTCACACCGCGTACAAAAGACCGTCGGCAGGCACTATCTAAGGCCTCTTTTTTTTTTTTTTGTAAGGTGGTACTGTGACACGGGCCCTAAACAAACTGTTGGCAGATATGTTCACATATGTACGAAACAGACATTCTTCGAGCATTCTTGAGGCGAGCCCACAGATAATTCTGTGGGCACGCCTGACGACCTCATGGGGAGCTTGGCATTACTTGCCCACGATCCAGCTACTTTAGGAGTTTCTACACTGGTGCTCGAAGCTGTTGCATTTATAATTTGAGAGTATGAATACATGAAACCTCCATAGTAAAAAGAAAGAAAATGAAAACTGGTTTTGTCAGTGGAAATATTATCGCTAACCCCTTGTATCTCAAGATCATCGAAAAAACGTTGTGGGCTATTCTGGTGTTTACTAGGACTGAAAACAGATTGTGAATTGGAAAGGAAATAGAATTGGCTTACCTATTCTTCCCTTCATGTGGCCCAAATAAGCGCCACAGTAACACTTAATATTTTTAGTTCCCATGCTAACTATAAGGAAAACACAGTTCGTGATTTTTCTTGGTTTACTCAGGTAAGCCAATCTGACTATAATTTCAGCGAAAGCTTCCACTAACTTCAGGCACCTCTGAATTAAAACTCAGCGCGATAAGTTAAGAAACCTAATTATGCGGTCAGTTTAAATACGTTCAATTCATTTCGCCCACGCCGTATATCTATCCCAACTTTTTTATAGCGTTCCAGAAATACTTTGCATTTTTTGTGCACCCTCACTATTAACAAAAAAAGAAAAACACAAAATACTAAAAGAAAGTAGAGTCCAGAAATCCGACACACCTTTACAACGCACAGAAGAAAGAGCAGCAGCAAACAAAGACAACACGAAAGGTGGAAAATTTAATAATACCAAGTTAAGAAAGCAAAAACTATGAGGTTTGTGGAAACTCTTTTCTCAGCACTTCGCACGGAACACAGACCGCTGTTCATATATGTACACGTTAGTGAAATCAAGTAACTGATTACCATTACTCGTTACTTACTAAAACAGTAACTAAGTACGTTACTCGATGCTGCGACTCAAAAGAAACGCCTTACCTTGACTTCAAACTAATGCTACATTTTCTCGTTACTCAAAATTTGTCGTTTTTGTGAAGCTGCAGCCGCTTCCAATACTTGTCGCCGTTAATAATTGCTCACCTTAAAACGCATGCGTGCAGGGACCACTTTGGTTATGCAGAAGACATGCCTTGCGCAGATCTCTGTCAAAACCTGTCTAGCGTTTTCTGGCTGCGCTAATCACGGGCGCGGGCTGGGGCGAGAACTGCGTAGGTACTCGTGTGGTGCGCGCTCCCTTTCAGAAGCAATTAGATACCGTTACGAGTTACTCCACAGCAAAGTAACGAAAACACGTTGAACTAGGGTGCCTTCATGTGCGCTTTGATTAGGGTGGAGTCATTTGACCATTTTGTCCCACACGGTTATTTTTCTTTTTTGTTCAGAAGCGCGTGAAAGAGCGTGTTCCTGCACGCGTTTGTGGCGCTGACTGTGCTATGGCGACATTTTGTTTTCGTCGATTGCTTTGTATTTTACCCGTGAACGCGTGCTGTCGGCATTGGGTACTACAAAGGGTGGCATCACCCTAAACAGAAGGACATTGAGGCACCCTACGTTGAACGCTTATTCTTTTTTAAACTACGTCGTTACTTCGTTACCGAAAAAAAAACATCTATCTAGATACTCCTTTTTTAAGGTAATTAGGGACGGGGTGCACCCCCGTCTACCCAAAAAGGAGGAGAAAGGAGTGCCTAGAGGGGCTTTTCTCGTGGCCGAGCTCGGGGGAAACCGCCGGCGTGCGCGATTCGCGGGTCCACGTGGCCTTTTTCTGCCTGCGCTCGGAATGCTTACGCAGAGCCAGAAGAATAATTGCTTTGAATTGCTTTGAATCGTAGATTAAGCGAGCTTTTAAATTGTTGACAAAAGTCGCCAAACACAAGTCGCAAAAAACTCTCGCGTGATCGCCGAGAAACCGCCAACTGCTTCTCGGTGTGCCTGAACGGGAGTTCGCTGGCGGACCACATTTGCAAACCCGCAAAAGACGCTACAGCTGCATCGTGACGATGCACTTTTTGCGGATCCTTGATTGGCCCTCTCGGATCGTTAGCGTTGGCTGCAGCCGCGTCATCGTGCATCTTGAATTGACTAAAAAAAGATTTCCGCTTCAAGGTAACCATAGGTCTCTGCAAAAACCTCCTCCTGCGCGCGGCCATCTTTGTCTGCTCTGCTGTGGAACGCCTTCTGAGTATGCGCTGTTGCTCTGCTGTGCGGTCTATCAGACGCTACGTCATGCCTGCAGAGCTCAGTGACTCGGCATTTTTCGCACGGGTGATGAGCCATGCAAGGGTCCATACACGGATAAAAATGGGAAGAATAGGTGACGAAAGCGCGAGAGGGGAGGGGAGGGGGGGGGGGACATCAGAACGGCGAGAGCTCTGATTGGAAAGACTAGTGGGTAGCCTCGAAGCTAGCCGCCTTTTTCTCTACTGCACTCGTAGAACGCGTTAGAAAGTGGAACGTCAGCGTCCGGCGTTCCCGTTCGAACGCGTCCGACGATTACGGTGGAGACAAAAGCATCGGGCCTAGCGTCCACTTTAAGAGACATCTGATCGTAAAAATATTGCGGTGGCTTAGCTCGGCTATGCCAGGATACACCTAGCGTGAGATTATGCGCACAAAATGAGAGGCGCTATCAAGCGGCTCCGGTGCAGCGTCAGACTTGGCTACTGCACAACGGAGGCGGACAGCTGGACACGCGGCGGCGCCTACGCGTCTGCCGCGGCTATGACGTCACTCCTCTGGAATGTGCAGACCGGCGAGGCGCGCGCGGCGGCGGCGGCGGCGTCTCCGGCGCGCCAGCTGTGCACCGTGTGACGTCACTGCTCCTCGCGCTTCCGCAGCACGGAGCACAGCTCATTATGCGAGAAACGCGAAACTGCTCAACCTCAGCCAGTTTAGCTCACGCTACAAAAACACTTTTAGGGTTCCTTCGGCTTGTCCACATCTTGCACCATAAAAAGTTAATTTAAGCACCCCCTAAGGGGTTTTCTTTCAAAACCTATGTGTTTTTCTTAAAGCTCCTTTTCTGATACGAAAAACTACTTCATCCCCAAGTTGCCTCTCTAGTGTGCCAGGGGGCGATAGTGCTTGACAAGAAACTGGTCTTTATGAACTAAAAGAGTTCTTGGAGTGTCAAAAACCCTTTTTGAAAACGTTTTCTGTTATTGTGTAGTTACAAACCGTTTCAGCTCGGTGTTCTGACGTCCTCGCGTACTCTGGTATTTTCCTCTCCCTCGGTTTCGCCCAGGGTTGGGCAGAAATACTGAAAAATGTATTTGGAAATACAAATACTGGGTACATTGAAATAGTAGCTAAAATACTGATACTAAGATACATCTGTAAAAATGTATCGCGATACGTATCGGAAATACATTTTAAAAAGAGGCAAAAAGTATTTGGTAATACAAATACAGGAATACATTTTAGGGAGTGCAGAAACACAAATACAGAAATACTGATACTGCAATACATTTTCCAAATTTTTTGAGACGCCAACTGAGATGAAGCTTGAAGTTTGAAGTGGATGATTTTGATCCCGAAATTACTTTCCTGTAGGCTTGGCACTTTGCCTTTAAGGAAGTGCTTTCGGACGGCAAGGAGTCTTCAATGGGCCCAAAAAAACATTCCAACAATTGCTGACCGCGGTCCCTTCCATGACATTCTGTCTGCCTGACGAGGGAATCCTGTCGACATTGATCACATGATGTTACGGTGGAATGAACTAATATTCTTTATCTGTAGGTGTGGCTTGAACGTGAAACTTTACCACGCTGCTGTATGAAAAGTCAATGCGTACTGTCGTTGTAGGCTACCTAGCTGAAGATCGTGCATTTCATGCAGTGTCATTTGTAATGTTTGAGAATAGTGGACCCCCTGAAGCATCTTGGAATGCATGTCTTATCTTCTGTTTTACAGTTGAAAAAACGATACGGTAGCATCCCTGTTCTTAAGGTCCTTACTACCGACCCTCCGCCACCGACGCGCGGATTGCAGTCCTCAAGTTTTGCCTAGCATTATCCAAACAGAGACCTCGTGGATTGCGTGCTGATATTGCCGGCACAGGTGCGAGCTGTCCAAGAAACAGAGGTCTCGAGACCAGTCGCAGGAGGTAGTCTGGGATGGCACAGCGAGGCCACTTCTGGCCTCTTTCTGGGTTTCGGATCACCAGAGCAGCGGGATACGTTCACGTCGGCTGATGACGTACCCTTGAGCCGTGCAATGTTACTGGCGCAGCCGTAGATGCATTCGAATGTGTGTTGAACTTCACAGCGTGAGTCTTCCTGCTATTTCAAGTCAACCACTGCCTGGCTCGTGCTGCAACGGAATGTGACTCAGCTTTGCCGGCTGGGTGTACTTTGTACGCTAAGGTGAGAGAGACGGTTAGCAGCGGACATTGGTTGCCAGGAAACAATGACTCATGAAATCCCTACCTAAGGACCTGCGGCAGAAGATGCTCTGACTCCACTGCTGGCACGCCACCTGATTCGGGTCCCCGACTACGCAACACTTCTCAGAAGAGGGAAGAGGACGTATAGAAAAATAGTTTGCAGAATCAAAAGGAACCTTGGTCAGCATAGTAACAATACCCCAGCATCTCCTTGACTCTAAGCCCTTAGAACTTACAAGTAAAAAAAAAATGCGTTCGGCCTTGTTACTTTTTTTTTTATTTTTTTTTTCGAGGTGGGGGGGAGAGTATTTCTCAAGAATTGTAACGAAATATATTTCATCCTGATTGTATCGTGATAAAAGAAACATTCCAAATGTATTTCGATACAGGAATACAGATACTGGTAAAAAAAATGTATCGCGATACAGAAATACAGATACGAAATGTATTTCTAAAATACTATCGCGATACATTTGTATCGCGATACTGCCGAACCCTGGTTTCGCCCACATGGTCGCTGACAGCTTAAAGCCTGACTTCTGATGTTCTGATTGGTCCTTCGGCATTCTTTTTGGTGCGATGTGGCGAACGCATTGGCTGGCGCGGGATAATGAGAACCGCGGGATTCGCCGTGCCTTGCGTGCATTAAAAGGCGACTGGGAGACTCAGACGAGTATTTTTGAATATGGGATTGCGACAGTTTTCAGCTAAAGCAATGTCCCTCAAATATAACCGTTAATGTTTTTTTTTCTCGATAATGTGTGTAGTTTTATAAGTATTACGGCTCAAAGGTTGGTTTCGGGCGTCTTCGGCAAAACCGAAACTATCTGCTAGAGGGATGGCAACACTGATAATCAGCCATACGGTTGATGATCAGTTTTGCCGTACCCGAAATCCGAACCCGAAAGCTTTTATTGAGATATCTACACACTAGTGAGCAGGCTTCTTCATTGGAAAAAAGAGGAAAAGGACAGAAAGAAAAATGTGAGACGTAAGAATGCACAGAAGATCAGCTCTAACATTATATAGGACACAAAAACAGGAGAAAAGGAAGGAAAATGTGTTTGGCAATTCACAGGGAAGTTCTTTAATGTTTCAGGCGAGAACCGGATTTTTGGTGACAATAACGTATAGGGCTAAATTTCAGAAGACAGACACATTATATGATGCCTGCCATAATGAGAGCGAGACACTAGAGCGCTTGGTTTTGAAGTGCACGGGGCTAGGCCGTGCCCTCCTCCAAGGCCTAACGGATCTGGACGGGGTCCTGGGGTTTGCTGGTGACGATGGAAGGACGGAAGAGAAAAGAATTAGAGTCACAGAGAGGCGATTAGAATAATGGTGGAAATTATCTAGGGAAAATTGAATGATGCAGATCTAACTACCACTGCTGGGGACAGGCGAGACAGGAAAATTCGGACTCCGCCCAGTGTGGCTCCGGCCCCAAGTCTCAACCCTGTCCTCCAGTGCGTCCGGTGCTGGGGTAATGCCAACAAGGTTTGATCAGAGGAAAAGTGGCAACTCCTTCACCGAGGGAAGGAGGCGGGGGTGATGTTTTTAGTTTTTCGCCCTATTCCCCGAAGGTAATCCTGGTGATATCCCGCACTGCCTGGTGGTAGTTACGAGGAAAAGATTGGCTTAGAAGGGCTGGAGGAATCATATCGTTGCCTATTTATACTCAGACTAGGTGGCGCAAGCTACCGCCAGTTACAAAGGGTATAGCCATTAACGTCTATCCATCCATCCGGCCGCGACGTGACGTCAAAAGGGTACTGCGGAGCGCGGTACAACTGGTACAACCAAGCGACCGCAGCTCTGCTGCAACATGACGTCACAAATGTGCTGCCCCAGTGTTCTTTGAATTAAAGCTAACGCGCTTGCCGCCCGCTAAAGACCAGCTGGTCGCATCTCTAGAACAGGGTTTCGTAGGGTGCGCGGCTTCACTTTAAGATTATATTTCGGCTGTAATCATATTTCTTGCTACTCAAGCGATACCAGTCATTTATTTTGCCTTCGTTTTTGACCAGAGTTATCCTTTGAGCCGTGGTCGCACTGCTTATACATCACACAAAAGGCAGTCTGCATACAGATTCAAACGCGAGTCATCGCAAGATCCGTGATTCGAACGCCGCATGGCAATGAGTTCGAGGATAAAACTTGGTACGCGGCATTCGAACTACGGTTATTGCTGTGACTCGCGTTCTGCAGACTGTCTCTTGTATTACCTGTGACCTCGGTTTTAGTCTGTAAATTACCGTAATAATTTCTAAGATATCTTTTGGATGCACATATTGCAAGGACCGTCGAAATGAGCCGAGAGCGTCCTTAGGTAACCCACGCAATACATTCTAAGAAAAAGTTCCGTTCTAGAAAGGTCCTTCAACGCCCCAAGAACTCTTTCAGCTCGTGGTGAAAGTTTCGCCTCAATCACTATCGTAACCTGGGGCGCCGGAAAGGCAACTGAGCGACGAAAAACTCTTTCGTATAAAAAAAGGAGCTTGAGAACCCGTTATACGTTTCTCAGAAATAAGTATTTTAAGGGGTTCTTAAGATAGCGTTTAGGGCGCCAAATATAGACCAGCCAAAGAATGCCTAAGAGTCATTTTATGACTATATTTTTGTAGTGTAGAGCCACATTTTAAATTTAGGGTTTGGTCTCGTGTTTTGTAATACTGAATTGTTAAAAATGTAAAATTTTGCACAAAAACAAACAAAAAAAGTTACCGGTTTATTAAAAAAATGGCGAGCAAACGACGCGAATCTTAAGAATTCTGAGCAGTTGTGCTTTCTCTCAGGGTATCCAAGCCTTGTCTCTTGCGTATATTTTCTAACATCAACGATGTCGCCAGCGGTGAGCGTTTTCACTGTAATGCACCTTAATAAAGTGACATGTCTAATGACAAATGCAAAGAATTAATGACTTTTTTTTTGCCTAATTTGCTTATTGCTTTTTGGCAGTACGTGCACGGATAAGCAGATGACACGGTACGAACAAATACGCGTACCAGAATATTTAAACACATTTTTAGTACTCATAGATACCGATCGGTGCTTTGGCATTGAAACTTATTACACCGGTACTTTAAATTTATAACGGCCTTAGTTTTCTTTTTTATTTATATTTTCGGGACAAAGAGTAGCATAACATACTTTTCGAGGTTTTCATGGGGACCTCGTGTTTTGTTATCTCCAATGACGTCAAAAGTTACCAGCCTTTCGTCGTAAGAGCAATTTCGCAAGAGGATTTCGTACATAACATCATCGAGGTCAAGTAGGTTGCCGCTGCCTAGAAGAAAGTGTGTATCGATATATATATATTAAACAATTAAACATACCGCCCAAAGATTGTAAAAATGGTAAATACACGGAAAGTACTATATTCCAGAAAAAAAAGGATATGATAGGTAGATTAATGTTTGAAGTTGAAAGGAGGCGCCATTACTCCTAAAGCCGCGGTCGCACTGTTTAAACATGAAAACAGTGTGCGGCCACTCTTGGAGGTGTGTTTGTTCCTAACACGATGGTGCTCTCACATTGATAATATAAAAGCACTGTCTGCAGACATCTTCAAAACACACATACGTGTGATGAAAACATGCATCCAGCCTGCTTCAGGTGTGTTCGCAAATAATTCGGTCAACATGTCCGCAGAAAGCATCGTGTATTTTGTTTTAACGCGATCGCTTGTAGGAGCGTGTATCGCAGAAAAACGGGCGTCGGCGTTGGTGGGATGGGAAAAAACCTGACTGGTCAATAAATTATCTATTTGCCTTAAAGAAAAAATAATTCAAAGTCTTTCAGGCGGATTGGGATTAAACCCATGACCCTTTCGATGCGAGCCAGACCCGCTACCCACTAGGCCACGTAGACACTTTTCTTTCGTCGTTATTACATGCAAAGTTAGGTTAACAATTCAGGCTACAAGATTAAAAGATGAAAAGATGATTATGTACAGAGTGATTGATTTGAGGTGAAAAGTTGGGAGGAATGTCTGCCTAAACCGCAGTCTCATAGCAGTCTTTCACTCCCGGCACGTCTCAGACATAAACAAATGCAACGTTTCTAAGCAGGCTGTTACCTGAAAAGTCAGGAAATCTTAAACACGCATCAAGTAGGGGAAACCATTCAGGTACTGGGGGATGAGCTGCGTAAACACTTTTTAATTTCAAAATTCCTTCTAGAAAAATTGATTGGGTGGTGCATGGTGTGTCGGCGTTCCTGTCAATTATCCAGCATCTCCAGATGCTGTGAAGACCTATCAGCATAAATAAATCTTAGAGATGTTTGTCTCACTAGGTGTGTGTAAAAATGAATATACTACAATCTTTTAAGTCTATATTCTTTTTGAGAATTCGCTGAAAGACCCCTCAAAAGAAAACAGCATCTGTAGACTAGATGAAGCAGAGTTCTCTTGTTTTCGATCGGTGGCATAATAGACAGACAATTGACCACGGTACAAAAGACCCAAGTTCTTGGAGCCGCCATTTTACTGGAAGCGTTGATGTCTGTAACTTAAAGAAAAATCTTTTAGCACTTGGAGATATGCACATTCGCGTTACTCGTTTTTACCGTACTGTCCTTCGTAGTCACTCAATTGTGTCCTGCGATAGCGGAATAGGAAAGCGACTTTCAATCAAGAGTCGTCATAGCCGTTTTCTTGGCACTTCAAATAGGTATTCTAATAAGAGGCGGACTTTTATAAACATAAAGGTATCCACTACTTCTTTTCAAAAGCCTCAGAGTTTTTTAAGGGTAGAATTTGTTGTCCAAACGCCCAAGAAGGGCAAGTGATGTGACAGTCTTTTGAAAGCAGATAAGAATGGAATAAATTCCTAAAAAATAGTCTCGAAACGAGTTGGCGGACTAATAAATGCGCCAGACCTAAGCCACCAGCTTCCAACGGAATGAATAAGTTAGCGCGTTTCATCTGCTTCCTAGAAGGGATCCAGGTACAGGTCGCAAATGTTCTATGGAAGGTTTGTACCTTTGGACAGTCAAAATGTCATTACCTTTAAGGCATACATTATCTTAGATATTAAAAAAAAAAGCTCTACACTGCTGCATTTGCGAAGATTGAAAGCTCTAGTGCCCTCCATGCAAAGCATTTCTGCTTAATCTCAGTTACAACGGACTTCAAATATAGATTTTTGGATCTTGTCTGATGGAGAGGAGGGGTCTCCAAACGTTTTCGCTAAGGGGCCGGATTTGGGTGTTGGTCGATGTTTCGAGGGACGGAATATAAGTATGAACATTTAAAATGTAAGAAAAAACTATTTGTTCTCGTCTTTTCTGCTATCTTCATGTGTGCGTTTGTTGCGCGTCGCGGCGGCGTTTGTTAACACGAGCTTATTTTTGCGTCGGTAGCAGCAGGCTATCTGCAAGCGGGCAGCGGGAAGGGCGTCACTGGAAAGACCGCGGCAAGACGCGGGCAGGTCGACAGATGCTTGATCTAGAGGAACGCCTATATATTTGAAGGGAAAGCAATTTCATGATAAGTCAGCAAACTACGTACTTATCCAGAAGCCGTTAGATTTTCCTGTGTTCATCCTCGCTCCAGTTAGGTTGCAATACCCTTGTTATTTGAAAGCCTTTTTCCACACTTTTCATATTCGAACAGAACAGCGCCACGTCATCAGCACATACCAGTAACTTTAGCTCTTGGAACCGAAGGGTATAACCTTGGAAATTATCAGTGGTAAGAACGCGCAAGCACGGAGGTTCAAGGTAAAACGCAAAAACTAAGTGTTGATATTGGGCATCTTTGCCATACTGAATATTTGATAAGAGCAGATACAGAAAGGGAGTTCTTTAAAATTAGCCTTGTGCTGCTGTTCTTGTAACAAAGCCGAATGCGCTCGAATAGCGTGGTTCCTGCGTTTGTATGAGAAAGTATTTTGAGTAAGAAAGAATGACTTACTCAATCGAACGCTTTGGACACATCAAGTGAAACTATTGCCACTTGATCTTGCTCACCGGATACAGTTTAGCACAGATCTTGCTACGTGTACGCTCGTTTGAATGTTTCGTTCTTGTGTACCACAAGCTTAGTGATCTCCGATTAGATTATGAATTACGAGGTGTAAGCGTTCGTTTTAAAACTTCTGCGTACATAGTTCACAGTACAAAGTTATATAGGTCGATAAGCTTCAACCTTTATTAAAGCTATTGTGTCTTCTGTTTTAGGAATTAGTACAATGTGACCACAATAAAAAGTTAGCTGTAGTGTTTCTTGTTCCGGCTTTTAAGACGTCAAGTAGTAATAGACTCAGCATACCAGAAAATAGTTTGTAGAATGTAGTGCTTAGGCCATCAGGTTCAGGTGTCTTGTTTGAAGGCAGAGGATTTATGACATTTTAAATTTCCTGCAATGTTAGAGGGCCCTCGACTATTTCTTTTTCGTCATCTCACAAGAAAGGCAAGACATATACAAGGTGTTTCATATCTGAATTTTTGTTTTTCAATTGGGATGCCTTTCTCTAAATGATTAGTGTAATAATTCACAAAGGCTTCTGAAAAAAGTGAAAGCCGTTTACAACCCCCTGTAACGCCGAATTCGAGCGCAGCTCTTGAGGAGGAGGAGGGAAGGGTACCTCGGAGGGGGGGGGGGGGGGTTTGTGAGATTTCGGGGAGGGGGTCACGTGACCTCGGAGGGGGGGGTTCACGTGGGGTCACGTGACCCCCCTCGCCGAGGTCCTCCCGAGGTCCTCCCGAAGGAACCCGAGGTCTTCCCGAGCTTTGCGGGGGGGGGGGGGGGGGGGGGGGGCTCGCGGTTACCCCGACGGCGACGGCGACGCCGACGCCGCTCAAGCCGGAAACGGGCGCCTAAGAGCTGCGCTTTAATATTTGGCGTATCCATTCTGGTACTACCGTAATGTTCAATCTCAACTACTTCTTTTTTGTTACAGCATACCTTCGCTCATCTTTTAAGAATCTCCGCCTGGGTGTCTCTCAAAGTTGAAATGTTCGGTAGCGCGATCGGATCACTGCACCTCGATATTTTTCGCATTATATCGCTGGAGTTGTGTTTTAGCCGTGTTTATTTGTTTTGAGTATTCACCGGAATTGTTACTTTCAACTTTCGCAAAGCGTTGATAACGTATTCAAGAGATTCTTCAGTTCTCGCCTTTTTTTCGAACGTGATAGAGCGCGCGCTTTCGGTTGCCCAATCTTCAACCTCTTTTTGAACATGTCCCATTTCAAAACACGTGTAGAGAGGGTATCTGTTGTACGTGCAAAAAACAATTTTGGGGATACGATCGGCAAATATTTCGTCAACTAGGTGGGTTATGTTCAGTCTTCATAGGCTCCATTCGGGACGTAATAAATGCCTTTTCTTTTCGCCAGTGGCAACTTACACAAGACAGTGGTGTGAAAAAAAATGTAGGTTTAAACGTGTAATCTGAAATAACCTTGTAAAGTTTTCCAGAGACGTATATTCGATCCAGTCATGCGTGAGAATAGCGCTTAAAATGTGTTTAATGTACTCTGCTTCTGTTCTCCAATGTCATCTAAGTTCTTTGCGGTAATAAAGGACTGCAGCGGCTGCAGTAGAGTCAAATCTGATCATGAATTGGGAACGGTCTTTCATATTTAACACACAGTTAAAATCTCCAGCAGAAGTAATTTTCTATCGATTCTAATATATGGTTTTATAAGTAAAAAGTAATTACGTGCATTCATAGCGTATGGACCGCACACACACACATTATGCGCCCTTCGTCGTTGCCATTAGTAAGATTAAATGCAATAAAGCGCCCATCCCGATCGGTGGTGAGAGCATTAGCAGTCAAACGCTTTGTCCTTTTCAGTTACAAAAAGCAACCGGCCGACGTCTCCGTTGCATGGGTGACACAGACATCGAAATCATTAATAAAAGGTTTGAACGCGACTTCGGTTTCTTCCTCGCCAGGCAAGTTCGTTACTTCTACAGCCAATAGATATACCTGCCGTATGGATATAAGCTGAAGAAGGTGGCACTGCTTTTGTTTAGCTCTCAAGTTTTGATATAGCTACATAAAGCTGAGGGGCGCCTTATATGCGATCGTTTATGGTTGAGCGTTACTCAGGTGGCCTGTCTTCGACAAATTTAGTGCCAGAAGATGGCTTCAAATACGGCTTGTGCCGTCTTCCAGCCTGTTTTCTGTCGGACAGTTTTGATCTAGATAAGAGGCCATTGGTCAATGTCGCATTTGTAAGTGCCTAAGTTGCAAGAATGGAGTCATCTGCATCATCGATTCCTTGCGTTGGGTTACCTTGCTCCTCAATCGCGATGGTTGCTGTGCTTTGCTGAATTTCAGTAGAAGTACGTCCGTGTCCTGACGTATGAGAAGGTGTCAGCGTTGTTTCTTAGATGGTAGGGGTACTAGCGGGTCCATATGCACTCACATCAGGAGAGGCAGAGGGGGCTTTGTCGGGGGTGGCTGAGGCGTTGAACTTGGAGGCTCAGTCATCATGGGGATGTCCCCACTCGATTCAACAACCTCGCTTGCATCCATCAGGTGTTTTGTGGTTGAGTCGTCTGCTGTTCCGATCCTAAGCCTGTCGGCGTAGGTGAAGACGCGGTAAGCAAGTTTGTAATCGAACCTTTGGCACTTTGTGCACATCGGAGTCCTACAATGGCGGCGGATGTGACCAACGCGATTGCATCGCCAACACAAAGGGGGTCGGCGGGGATCAGTAAGGTCTGGCACCCATAAATAGTTAGTAGGTGCGGAATTTTGCCCACGCTTGTGTCGTCTCTCAATATCAGTTGCACCTCTCTGTTGAAGGTAGTGATGCCTTTCATTCCTTCGCATTTCCACTTCTCTTGTACGATAGAGCTCACGGTACCGAAGGGTTCCAGCGCTTCAACAAGTTCCCGGTTTTTCATGTGCGGGTCTAGCCACAAAAGTGTCTGTTTCTCTTTTTTTCAAATCTGGGTTCACGACGAGGCATTTACGTCTTTTCACCTTTAACTCTTCGCAGGCGACGAGCATGCTTTTCGCGAGAGAAGTCACAGATACGACCATCTAGACATGCGACATTTGGCGTTGTCTTATGGCGATAATGTCCTCTCGGTCCATTATGCCACTGGGAGCGTCTCAGAAGTCTGGAGCTCGGTAGGGTCGCACAGCGAGAGCTCCATGCAGGAATTCTGAATTAGGAACGAGGTTACAAGTAGGTGGACGTGGCATCAGCACTCGGTAGTTATCCATTGGGGAAACGGTAGCAGCAGCAGCAGTGTACGCAATACTAAGGCCGGAGGCCGATTTGTTTTCTTGTACGGAAAACATGAGAATTCAGCCGTTGGAAACGGCGTCTTCTTCATTCTCCGGGCCACGCAGAAACGCTTAAACGGCTTGAGAACGAGCGGTGGTTTATATTTAGCCATCGCATTCCACTCTTTAAGGCGAAGCTTAAGAGACCTCTTGTAATTTTTGTACGATGCATGAGCAGTGTAACTGCCGCGTAAAAAAAGGAGAAAATTTGAGATTGCCGCGTGCATAAGCAGTAACTTGACAGGGATCTAAGACATAGCATTGTCTTTTCTCGCCTTTTGAGCTGGCGCGATTGAGAACCTGTCTCCCAGAATTCGTTGAGTCGCCACTAGGTTCCTCACAGTCCCTTTTTGAGTGTCACGCCTAACACCAGACATTTTTCCAGGGTCGGATCAAGAAATTAAAGGCCTTAAAACGATAAGCACCTGCTCCGTCCCCGTTATTCTAAAGAAAATGAGAAAATGGCGTCAAAAATAAGTGTACTCCAGCGATATTAATACTGTGACGGAGTATCTGTGTTCGACACTGTTTTTATGTACCTGGACGCTTTCTTTTCCTCTCCTTTAATGAAAAAGGTCGAGCGTGGTGAAGAAAGTCGGGCAGCTCGGAATTAAAAATGGTCTGCACATCAAACAGCAAACGGAGCCCCGGACTCCGAACAGATGTACAAGTACAGCTCGAATGCATCCAAATTTTCAGCCTTTCGCGCATAAAGCGTTTCTCACTTTCGTAGTTTCTTTCGGAAGCGAAAATGTTTCCGCCCGAGTCTGGAAACAGATTGGCCTTTTCACGATATGCACTCGCCCTGAAACCTGCAGCAGTAATAACAGCTGCATGCTTGGCGATCCAAGTTTCATTGAGGTCTCATATATTAAACAGGTTAGAATAAATGATCCCCGTTCCCTCGCGCTCGGAGATGAGGCCCTTAACTGCAACATCGTTAGCCCTCCATCTCCATTAATATCTAGCGCTGTATTTCTCCCGAGCTCAGCGACACCGTGCTTGGAAACGAAAATTCACCCTCTCAACAGGTAGTTAGTTGAGCCAAGGCCACCTAAAAGACAAGGCCTGCTCATGACGTCATCACGAGTGGAACCCCAATTCACCCCAAGCGGCAAAGACGCTGAAGCTTTGCGAGAGTCACAGCAAAGCGGCAGACGCCTCCATCTTGGCGTCGCCGCGTTCCAGCGTCGCGCTCGTTGGGAGATGCAGTGAGACGCGCTGACAGTGACGCTGACGCAAGCTAGGCGGAGCCGCGGGGGGCCACTTCTGATGACATCTAGGGAGAAGGGCGCAGGCCTTGTACTCTAAGTGGTATTGACCAAGTCAAACAGAAACAAATGACATAACAGTAATAAACGATAAAATATCTGTAAAGTGCCTTGAGGGAGCGTACTTACTTTGGTGTACGGAATACTGTAAAGAAGGAAAAAAAAAACGCTCAAATTAATATTCGATTACATGACTGCAAGATTGCGTGCATTTCAAGTTTGGCAGAGAACACTGTGTTAACTTATTCTTATACAAGCAAGACAGGCGAGTTAAATGACATCGTCACAATCGTGTGGAACACACGGATGTAACAATATTTCTCAATTTACCAAATTTGCAGAAATAAATGTTACTTCTTTCTTCTTTAAATATTTACGGGAACACATAAAGCCATCGCTATAGTATGTTCTCGCGAACGAAAAGGCTTTTTTGAGATTTTGTATAGAGCGACAGTTAAGTGGCAACAAGGATTTAATGCCCAAGATGCCTGAAGTGTCGTTTTGCCAAAGCGAATCATAACTAGTGATTCTAGTATATCCATAATTATTTGAGCAACTGGCATCTAAATTTCCGCAGTTTTACACTCACCAGGGAGAGTAAAAGGAGGAGCGAAAACTGAAAACTTTGAGCCATAGTGTCTGCTTAATGAGCTGAGAAATAAACAGGTGCCCCTTCCTTCTGCGTAAATGCTTTCCCGTCACCACCTTTTATACAAAAAAGAGCTTTAAAGAGAGTGCGAGTGCGCTTACAAAAATAAAGCAAAAATTAAACGTAAAGAAAATTTAATTTTGAGGGGAATGTTCGAGCTTTTTTTGAAAGGACGAGGTTCAACAGGGGGCATTTACCGGATGCCACATTGAGTGCCTATGCACACCTTATACACCAGCTCACGTTTACAAACAAAGCAGAGCGCCGCAAGCGGTACGGCACTGGCGCCTCGCATGAGGAATGGGGTGTCGGCAAGAAGCGCCACAACCCGCATCAACAAACCATAAGAATCTGATGTCGTCGACGTCGGTTTGAGTTTTCGTGCTCTCTTTCGCGTTGCAAGTGTTGATTCTACGTCTTCCTGCTAATGTCTTACCACTCTAGTAGCCTCAACAAAATTAACGAGGCTCGTTACATCGCAAATCTTCGTGTAAATAATGTGACGTACGTCGATTCATTCGGGGTGAACGCCGCAGAATGTACCTTAAAGCGTTATTTGCATGATAATATTCTGCTCGCAATTTTCAGTCGCGACGTCACTTGAGTTGCACCAGTGTGTAAGGTAGCTGGGATGCTAGACGTCGATGTTGAAAATCGCAAGCAGAATCGGGGCATGTGAATCATGCAGTACGAGTCGGTGATTGCCAGTGGTAAAAATGATCAACATTTTTTTTTGTAGCTACCGTTTGCACCGAGCCTATTTACACCAAACAACCTTCAAGTTTAAACGTATTTTGAGCCATGCACTTCTTATCGCTACATTTGGTCTACTGGCGGCTGTCGTTTGAATGAGCAGACGACAGTTTGAACGAGTTTGAAAGAGAATACGACCGTTTAAACGATACCACGGCCGTTTCACCGTGAAGTCGCACTGAACGGGGTCTGCGAGTGGTCCGGACGATTTGACGTTTTTTCGGGCTTCTTTTGGAACAAAACAAATATATCTGACAACCAGAAGTATCCGTGAATTTCCCCCTTAAGTGCTTTGCGCGCAAACAATCGCGTTCCGACGGTGTCTGGATTTCCTTTCACAGCACCTAACCGCAATCTCGGGCGAACCTAGCGCACAGAAAACACGTGGGAAATGATCTTAAAACCTTTCCCGGCTCTTTTAGTACAGGCGCATTTGAGGTGTTTTGAAGAGAATGCTAGTTTTAGTATGGTTGCTTCCAAAACACCACAGGAATGCCCGTCCGGCATGGTGAGTTTCGCCCAAAGCCCCAGACCAAAAGTGCGTCCGACACGCTGCACCGCGGTGTAACTTAGCAGAGTTGAGTTGGTGCATACTAAAGCAGAGCTCACACTTAAAAGCCGACCTACAGTACTGTCTTCTGTAGGGCAGAAAACCGGTTTCCTATTTCCTTTTCCCCATTCCCTCCCCACAGGGTAGCGGGTCTACACGTATTAAAATGATTGTGGCCATAGTTGTCTCGATTTTAGAGATGTTGTTGTTGTTGAAAACTTTGTTGAACGATATATCGAATAGAAAAGGGGGGATATGGAAGTCAAGTAGTAGAGAATATAGGTGGGTGCCCTTATTCCAGGGCTCGAATTGCAGTGGTAACTATGACAGTTCTTCGTACAAGCATGTGTTCCTTGTCGGCGTCCTCGCTTCGCAATCCTGCATCACACTCCTCTTTTAAAGGTTCTTCAGTTGGTTTAAGGCCTGGTATCTGCTTTCATACCCATACTAGGTGATGCACGTCGGCCCATGGTGCGTCGCAGAAGGGTCATCTCGGCGTGAGAAAGCGTTCTGGGTACCATGTGTGAAGTTTCGCTGATGTGATGATCGCGTCCGTTTGTAATCTTCTCAAGGGGTGGTTCTTCCTCTTTGTTGAAGCTTTTGTGTGGTAGTGGGAACTCCCGCCTCGCTTTAGGTTGAGTCGCTAAGTACGTTTTATAAGGCATGTCTGGTGATGAACTCTCAGGGCGTGGATTTGAGTCCCGGTTGAGAACTGCTCCGGCTGCGGCATTTGCCGCCACGTTTCCTGTGTGCCCCATGTGTCCCGGGGCCCAAACGACATGTATCTCTATGATTGATTTTTGTTTTTAGGATGCGTAACGTCGGCCGTCCAAGGGTACCTCGGGCGTAATTACATGCAGGCTTTCTGCGAGTCGGTCATCATTGTGGCTCTGGAGTTGCAGTTGACGTCGAGGGCGATGGTTCTTCCGCTTGCTCCACCGAGTCCACCCGCATCAATGCAATCAAGTGATTCAAAAACGCCACACACAACAATCGTCAAAACCTCGTCGTTCTTTTTCGCTTCTTTGACATTTTTGTTTCTCAGAAACTAAACATGTCAAGACATTAAGATAAAATAGGATTGTTCTTCTTGGAACATTTACCACGAAATATAAAAATTTAAAGCAAAATAAAAAAAAAATGCGGCTGCCCCTCGTTGCCTGAATCCAAATGAAACCGCCCAGCTATAACTGATAAGTGGTTTTCTGAAAATTTCAATGGAAAAATGGAGCTCATTTTTGCCCCTTTCGGTTTCTGGTGCCATAGAGCCCCATGTATTCAAAAACTCCGTTGGTCATCAATTTCCAATGAACTTTTTAGATCACTTATAACATTTGAAAAAGGTGTCGGATCGGGCTGAAACTTTGGCATCTGGTTGTGACCTCTAGCGGTACCTTTGGGCGGAGAATCAGCGTTCGGCGATGCCTAGTTTATTTTTGCGTTAAAAAAACAAAAACAAAAACAAAACAAAAACATGTAAACGTTTTCTTTTGTGACACCTTGTAAAATAGGTTTTTTTATGCCTAGAGTGACATGCTTGGTTTTCCAGCTTGCAGCGCCAATACAGGCAGCAAGCGAAAATAATAAAGTGAAAATTCAGCCTAATATGCTTGGGCTTAATAAACACTGCGCCGCTCGTGTTAGAAATATTAGTTAAGGTAAAACCCAATCTACGCGTTTTTGTTTTGGTATTTATACAAATTAATACTTGCAAAGATATCTGAAGTCAAGTCGAAATGAATACGATTCAACCACATATATGCCTTTTTGTCGTTTTCCTTCAAGAGGCGGTGTCTTGTCAACCGTTGCCGCCGGCCATTCAGGCTTAAGAACGGCCAAAATCAGAAGACGATTTAGAAAACAGGGCGGGATCATGGCTCATACTTTCCGATCTTATGGCTCGTTCACACATGCGGATTCGCAGGCAAATCTTCGGCGAAACGGATGCCGGAAGGGGGAATCCCCTCGCCGGCGACGAATAATCGGCCGCAGGAGCAATCGGTCCGCTACCGATATTTCCCGGCTGCGGCGGCTTTAATTGGAACGCACGGAGGAAATGGAGCTTGCGGGCGTCACATCTTGACCTATATATAGTCGCCCGAGTTGTTGAGGTTGCCGCCGGAATTGTCGGAGTTCCCAAGTTGTGCATGACGCCGCCTCGCTGACGTCATTCTGCCGGTAGATCGAGACGAAATTATTCAACCCCGTTTGACAAGAGGTATCTTAGCAATGAAGACAGCGCCCACAAAGAAGATCTATATGATAAAATTGGCGTGATTGGTACGTACACACGACGTTTCCGTTCGCTCGTTATATTAGTATTGCCTTTTTGTATCGCCGAGAGAATGTTGAGCATTTTCTCGACACTGCGTGCTAGCGTTAACTGCCAGACAAAGTCTGCGAGATCATTTTTTTGAACACCACTCGGGCCAGGGCAAGTCTGCTCTGAGATATGCCAGAGACCGAAATCGTGTGAACACAGCGAGCGGCAAGAAATGTGAACGGTGCCTTCTTTTCCCGCCTAGTACATTCGGTAGGCGGCAGGAGAAATTTCCGCAACTGTGAACGCGGGCTAAATGAGGTAAGGCGAAGCGAAAGCCTGCTGCATCACTTTTTGCCGATGAACGTGCTTAATCTGCAGATCCAAGTCCCCTGAGCCTCACCCATAAATCTGCCCCCTGGTCACTACCCGCATGTTTGCCGAGCTTGATTATCAAGACCCTTTTCCAATGCTCACGATATACTTGGGTATAATCAATGAGCCGCGTTCAAATATCGTCACTCGGGGGAGCTGCCAACTAACCTTGCTCCAATCACTGGGACCTCCGAGCTACATCATTAAGATTTGCGAAAGAGAGATTGAAGGAAAACGCTCGCTTTAATCATTGAAATTACACCGCAGTGAAGAAGTTTCTTGGTCAGTGGCGTTGCTGGCGAACATACTTGGGTCCCACTAGTGCCAATAAGCTCGTGTAAAGCTTATTGGCCCCAGCTTATTTCAAAATGTTATTGTTGCATAGCCCCGTAACTTTGTAATACGAAAGGAGTATTGAAAGTTTGAACACTAAAGTATGAGTACTGTTACATTTGATTAATGTCGCAAACATTGTCAGCCTTTAAAACGCGTTTCCTTTCCTATATGCGGAGCCCAAGTAGTTTACTCTGGCGAATTAGCCAACCACCAGGGAGTTAAAGGTTATGAAAACAATGAGTGTGGCAAGATTATGCAGGGTGCACGCTAAGAGATATTTTGCAGATCGATATGTTGAGAATTTCGAGCCTTGCGGTCGCATACTCAATCTGCGCTCGAAGTGGCGGCACGAGCTCCTGCTAGCAAAGGGGAGCGATCTACGAAGGGTCGCTATTAACGTCATTCGAAGCTGGAAGAACCATCAATGGAATTGGCATTAAAGTTTTCCGTGTGGCAGAGGTATCTCCTCCCGAAGGTCAGTTTGCAGCGAATGTCATTTCCAGTTTATTTCATTAAATGTTTACGTGTGGTAGAAAACAATCGATACAGTTGCCACACGCAAAAATGAAGTGCACATCTTGGTTGGAATAACCTTCAATGGATTTGACAATAAAGTTTGCCGTGCGGCATACCTGTGCTCTCCCGAAGACCAGAGTCTATTGTGAATGTCATTTCCAGCTGATTTCATTAAGTGTTTCCGTGTGGTATAAA